GATAAAGCAAATTCCCATGGAATGGGGACAGTGGTGCCCAGGGAGGGGGAAGACCTGGCAGGCCAGACCCAGCCCAGATAAAGTAACACCAATGATAGAGTTAAGCAGCCCTGCCTTTCTTTAACCTTAAGGCAGCTAGGGAAAAGGAGGTCCTCAAAACCCTGAACTGTTCCTTTTTACTTCCCTTTTAACATTTTTTGCCTTTTTTTTTTTCTCCAATTTAAACCCACCCCCACAGCATGGGGATGGAGTACTGCTCACACGTGGTGCATAGGGCTCAGTATCTGCTTGTATCTTCCCACCTGTGTGCTTGGATTTCATTTTGTAGGCAATAAAAAGCCCTTTTGCAACCACTCTTGGCCCATGCTGTGGTTCCTGAGAAGCTCAGGGTGGGAAGGAGGGGGACACGGGGACCAGCTGGGGGTTCCACAGCTTCTCTCACTGCCCTGGGACATGCTTTCAGCATCCAGGGTGGTGGCATAAATTTGATTCCCTTTTGGGGACATCCCCAGACCTCAGACACTTCCTACCAATGTGGCCAAGGCGAGTGTTTAAAGGGCAATTACTTGATGCAGGGTTGCAAGTCATGTCCAAGTCACCTCGGGCCATGTGGCGAAGGGATGTCCCTGTGCCACACCACGGTCCCCAGGGAGCATGCTGGTTCCCTGAGGTCATCTCAGGAAAACGGGGTCCACAGAGAGCCTCAGCCAGTCACTGGGAAGCTTCCCAGTATCTCCCATTTCTCTTGTGCTTACACAACTGGGAGCCAACACCCCGGGGCCGCAGACCTCAGACCCCACCCAGCTCCTGGCAGGGCCCCATGGCACGACCTGCTGCTCTCAGGAGCTGGCACAAAAAGGCATGAAACCCTGGGGCAAAGGAAAGGTGGCCTGTTCGGAAACACCCTGCCCAAAGCGGCCGAGGGCTTTGTGGTGCCACAATGCTGTCTACCCCCAACCTCCCTAAATCCCAATTTTGACACAAATCCACGCAGAAGGAGCTGCCACAGCCAAGGGGTGGAAAGCACATTCATCCATTTATTGATGGCACCCAGGACAGGCTGCCGTTGTGGGCAGGAATAGTGCAGGCACCTGAGATGGAGGGTGCTGCCAGGTGCCTGAGGGGAAAGCCTTTTGTGAGGGGGGATGCAAGGGAAGATTCCTGCCTCCTGCCAAAACCCTGGGAGCAGAGCAAAACCCGGTGCACCTCGTCACAGAGTTCTCCCCACAGAGGAATAAAACCACGGTGGGTTATTTATTACCCGATCCAGACAGAGGGAGCGATGGGGTGGGGGGCCTGTGGGGGGACCAGCAGCACCACCCCACAGCCCCACCCCACCGCTCTGCTCCCCGCCGTGGCCGCGCCGGTGCTTCCCTTTTGGTGGCACTCCTGCAGATATTGGGGGAGGCAAGAAATGGGAAGACAGTGAGGAGGAGGAGGAGGGGAGCATCCTGACACCCCACTGGAGGTGTCTCTCGGTTTTCCAGCACTGGTACCTCTGCATCAGCTTGTGGATGAGCAGCTGGATCCAGGGCGCCTCGGGGGCCACGCAAACCTTCTTGTTTTTCTTCAGGGTGAGGCTGCAAAGCGACAAGACCCCATCAGCCCCAAAGTTTTTCTAACCACCTGCAGAGGAAACCCTTCATGCTCCCCCGCAGACTTATGAGCACACCCCTGCAACCCTCAATGGGAGATAGATAGGATTTTTGGGGCCTTGACCTCAGCTCTAAGCCACACTGGGGGTAAACCCCATTAAAACAGGCTGGGTTTCCCGTGCAATATCCTGTGCCTCCCAAAAGTCACTGCAAGATTTTGGGCTTTTGGAGAGGGTGCAAGCACCCATGTATTTTTACACCAGTACATGAGCAAGCAGCTGGCAGGAATTGGTTTGCAGGCTCTCCACTTACATGATCTCCTTCCTCCTGCAGTGAATACCAGGCGGCGTAACGTCGATGGCAAGGATCAGCCCCAAGTTGATGACCTTGGCGGTCGATTTGATGCACTTGCACTTCATGTTGGTCAGCAGGCTCTCCAGCGACAGACCTGCGCCCAAGAACAGCCCACACCCAGGTCTCTGCCCCCACCATCCTCGTGCCACTGTCCGGCCCCCTCCTCAGCATCCACGGGGCCATTTGCACAGACAGAGGCTTGTGATAACGGGGTTTGCGTTAACGGGGTTTGCAGTGGCAATCAGTGAGAGCAGCGAGGCTGACGCGAGGCTAACCCCTCCCAGCACAGTCTCAAAGCTCTCTTTTCAGGCACACAGAAGTGGTTTAGCTTCAGGGTCTGAAAACTTAGCCAACATTTTGTGAATTCAACAATTTCATGGGGGGCTTGAAGTAGCTTAAACCCAGGCAAATCCTGCGCGGTCCCTTGCATCCCTCTCTGCTTCTCATTTAAAAGATAAACTCAAGCTCAAACATAGGCAAGAGTCAAATTTGAAAGCTTAGAAGAGCCCGTGCTCAGCCCCATCAGCAGCACCCAATGCCCCTGCCCAAGGATTTGGATGAGGAGACAGAAGGACACCCAAGATCACTCACCACCCCCTGGCACCAAGTTGCCCAGGAGCAGGGCCAGGGCCAGTGCTGCCGGCAGCAGCCGCATTCTTGATGCCCACCCCGAGGTGCCACAGGGGCTGCTTTATAGCCAGCCCCGACGGGGATTTCACAGGCTGGGAAATGAGCTGCCCCACTCTCCGACTTCCCTGCCCTCGCTTCCCCCTGCCGCACGTGGCCCATACCGACGGAAAAGGCAGAAGCCACCATGGCCACCTCCTAAAGCCTGCTTGCCCCATGTTTCTTGGTGGAGAAGCAACGTGACACCACGCCCCAGTGTGCCCCCCGCCCAGCGGGCACTCGCTCCCCTGAGCACCCCAAGGCCCCACACGCCGCAGGAAGGGATCCCAGTGACAGTGACCAAGGTCTGTCACCTTTATTGGACCTCTCAGGTCACCCAGCGCATGGCCACGGTGGGGGAGAAGGGAGGGAAGCAGGGACTGGCATTTTCAAGAGCTTAAATGAATAAACTGCAAAGGACAAAGGAGCTCAGGGCATCACGCAGCAGCTTGCTCCCCTCTGCACAGGGGCAAGGTAACAGCGAGAAAAGGAGGGTCCGGTTTTGGCCTTGGCCCATCTGTCAGTCCCACCGAGAGCAGCTTCCTCAGTCGGGAGCCTGTTTCTTCCTCCTGCCAAAACCAGAAGGGGGAGAAACGTGTGAAGACCAGTCCCCACAGGATGCCCCCGGACCCGCCGGGAGCCCCTGTTGCTTGGGGTGGAGGGGGGCTTACAAGTTAGGGAGGTCCTGCAGGAGTTTCTTCACCCAAGGGGTGTTGGGATTCACGCAGATCCTCTCCAGGCTTTTTAGTTTAATCCTAGAAAACATGCTGGGTCTCAGCATCGTCACTTCCCCCTCCTCTGGTGGAGGGGCTCAAGGAGCTGAACCTGCCACTGCAGTCCTCATAAAGAGCTCAAAACTGAAAATAATTCAAGGAGGATGGGGCAGGGGGGAAGCAGAGGGCTGATACCACACCCCGGAGCCACTTACACCACCTCAAGGCGCCGGCAGCTGCTCCCCACCGGCCGGACCTCGATGCTCCTGTATTTTTCTGGAGAGATGAAGGCTCTGGTGGTCTTGGCACAGCGGCAGCTCAGGTTGCCATTGGCCTCCAGGAGAGCTGGAGGGGCACATGGCCACAGCTCATGCATTGCCCCAAAACCCACCAGCATCCCCAAGACTTTCTGGGCAACGCATCTCCCCCCACATCCCACCGGGATCACTGCACCGGCTCACAAAAGAGCCGCAGCTGTATTTAAACCCCAGAGACAGAGGCAGGATGCTGCCTCTGAAAACCTCACCATCCCCCCCCAGCATCCTCCAGCCCCACACTTGGGGACACGGGGATCCTCACCTGCATCCCCAGGGTGGTGGGTCACCAGCAGCACCCCCAGCAGCAGGGCCACCCGTACAGCCATGCCAGCCCTAGCCCCAGCCCTGGCAGCATCCCCCTATTTGAGCCAGAAAATAGGAGAAGTGAGGTGGCACAGGCGGGAGGCCCGCGGGTTTGGGGCGGTTTTCACCCGTCACCCGGTGCTCGCTGAGCTTGCAACACTACTGATAAAAGCAGCTCAGGGCTTGGCGGGGGGCCAGGGCTTCCTGAAAGCAGCTCCCTTTTCCCCTTCCTATGAAGCCAGGTCTGGTAAAGACAGTGGTTGTTTCCTCCAACGCTTGCTCTTAGCCCACGCAGCCACGCAAGCCCAGAGGGATTTTTGGGTGCAAACCTTGCACAAACTTTTCTCCTCTCTCATTCCTCCACATGAAAGGGTTTTTCACTATGCCTGACATTCCTCTGGGTGCTGTCCTCATTCCCCTACCTATAGTAGAAATACCTGACGTATAAACAATATGCCATGTATTCAGATATATATGACATATATTCAAACACACATTTTAATGCCTGTAACATTTCTGTTAAAAAGCAGCAAGGCAAGAGCACCAGATGCAAATAACAGTCAACTCAACTCCAGGAAGGCTACAACCATGTGGTTCATGAACGCCCTGCCAAGTTTTCCCTGAACTCCTACCTTCAAAGGAATACAACAGAAGAAAAAAACCTGAATTTTATTTGACTTGAGATCTCAGGACAGGACACGCCACGCTGGGTAATGAAAACCCCAGACACGCTCTGTGGATGAGGGTTTGATGCGGAAAGAGTCACAAAGTCACTCCTACAGAGCTGGGAGCAGCCCCTGACAGAAAGGCTTCAGTCTATGGGCAAGTAAATAAATGAAGGCTTCATATTCACGCTGCTCCAGGGAGAATCCAGAGGAGAAAGAGCCCCACAAGCCTGCCCCAGGGCTGGGGTTCCCTCCCTGCAGCAGCTGCTGCTGGGGCTGGACATGGGGCTTTCAGGAAGGGGGGAAGCAAGGGCCAGGTTTGCATGCCTGGGCATCATCTGCCGGCCCAGCTTGGGGCTCCAAGCACCGACTTCCTTAGCAGGAAACTTACTTTTTCTTCCTGAAAAAAGCAGAAGGAGGAGAAATGTGTGAACGCAGAGCAAAACTGGTCCTGGGGGAGGAAGCTCCTGCCCCCACCGAAGGAAGTCACTGCCTTTTCCCCAGGGCAGGCATCGCTGGTGTGGACGTCTCCTGACTGTGGGGATGGAGGGTGGCTTCCCCAGACCAGCACCGACACGCAACTGCATTCAGAATGAGCAAAATTCTGCTATGCCCATCCCCCAAAAAGCAATCCTTTCTTGCCAAAATGTTTTCTGAGGTGTGGCACCGTGCACAAGCCCAGGAGAGCACACGCCACGGATCGAACGCCTGAACGCTGCTTTATGCAGTGAGGTCCCGGCCTTCTTCACTTTTGGAGTGGGTCCCGTGACCCCCGGCAGCCCATCCAAGAGCCCTCCGTCCTGTGAGTGCTCCCCAGGGCCATAGATGTGACAGGATTCTGCCCAGGGTCACAGAAACTAGGGGTTTTTCATCGACTTACGTGCTAGCAATACGCTTCAGCAGCTTCTTTACCCAGGGGGCGTCAGGATTCACGCACACCTTCCCGGGGGATTTTAATTTAATTCTGGAATGCAAGGAGAGTTTACGAGTGCTACCCTTCCATCCAAAGGCAGGGATTTGAGCAGGCAAAGCTGGTCTGCCAGACTTAGCTGCCATTTACAGTTCCAGCAGACAGCAGAAAGCTCCTCACGACAGAGGAAAGCCATGTGACGGTCAGGAAAAAGCAAGATGTGGCACGTCGCTGAACGGAGACCATGCGTGAAGCCCAGAGGTGACTGTTCAAAGGCAATTTTCTCTGTAGATTTACAACTGTATCAACACTGAGCAGTTAAAGAAATCTTACACTTCTGCTTAACGAGCTGCTTTAGTCAGGACAGGAGTAAGGAGAGAAGGGCTTGACCAAACAGGCTGTTTGCTCTCAGGATTATCATGTGTTGCTAGTGGAAAAATTGGTTATGGCTCACCCTGCCTCGGTGTCTGAGGATGTTCTTCCTCCAAACTTCAAATACCCCTCACTAGCATGCAGAAATATGGAAAAGCTCATTTAGGTCCTGTGGACCTCTAGCAGGTTGGCTCGGGTGGATTTCCTCCATCAGAGGTGACCTGATGTTCCTCAGCCTCGCAGCATGAGTGAGAAAGTGAAGAAGTGAGGTGCTTGCAGCAGAGAATACGCAGCGCTGGCCCCGCTGCTGTGCAGGGGCAGGAGAAAGCAGCTTTCTGCCCCACGAGCCCCGCGCAGCACTTACATGATCTCTGTGCGTCTGCAGGTGCTTCCCACAGGCCTTATCTCAATGCTCTCGTATCTCTTCGGACTGATGTAGTCCGAGGTTGTCTTTACACACCTGCAGTTCAGGTTTCCGTTCACCTCCAGGATGGCTGAGGAAGAGAGAAGGGAGCAACTTAGAGACAAACAGTGTTATTTAGAGAGGCAGTAACTCCAGATCTCTTAGGGAGCCAAAGAAATTGTCCCTTTCCATGCTTTCACTGACAACACTTTAGGGAACACTGGAAGAAACTGTTATCTGTGCCTCTGCCTCAATACACTGCTCTCACATAGCTCCCAAAAGCTGAACCAGGTCCCACCAAAGGAGGACAGTCACACTGTAAGAAAAACCTTGGGTGAAACAGCCTGGAGGAGTCCCCACCAACGCAGGATGGAGATGACGCCCACCCATCGTGAGGACAGAGCTGACAGCCACAGGTATCTCCACAAAGCCACCAGAAGCTCACCTGCGTGGGCCGAGTGGGACATGATCAGCACCAGTACCACCAGCAGCAGCCACAGGACCCCAGGGGCTCCCGTCCCCA